CCGCGGGGATGGCCACATCACCCTGCCCGCCGGCGGCAGGCGAGCGGGCCCGCGTCCTGCCGGGCATTGCTGCTGGTGGTGGTGGTGGTGGTGCGGCGGGGCGGGCTGCTGTGCGCCGGGTGGGGTCTGGTTTTGCCTCGTACAGTAAGTCCGTCGTGCTCTTCCCGTGCGCGTTCCGAATCGTGTTTTTCCGCCCCTGTTTTCTCAGTCCGTCCTTGGGAAGCGCACGCTTTTGTTGTCTTAAGTCGCATCATCTGAGGTAATGGTGACCGGTGTCTTCTACCTAGACCTTGCGGCGTTGTTGCACTTTTTATTTTTTCCCCTGTGAGTGCTGAACAGTCGCGTTTCATTTATTTTTATTACATCCACTACAAAGTAAGCGCTAGCTGACGCGATGCTTTGTTTCTGAATCTGCTGCCATCCCTAAGCATGTGTCAGGAATTGCTGTCTTTTCCACATCTGTCTCGTTTGTAACGTGGACTACAAATCTTAGTTATGAAGTATACAATTTATTTTATATGGAATGTCACATGCATGCTGGAAGTTCACATTATGGTTCATGCTGATATCCTGTGAAATGGTTTAAAATTAAACCCCAGTGGAAATGGGAGAGATTAGGCGATATGAAGAAAAGACTTAAAGAGACACCTCTGGAGGTGGTGGTGAGGGAAAGCAGTACGGAAGCCAAGAGAGTGAAAGCAAATGGGTAGAAATAGAATTGGTTTGAAGAACAATGTGTGTTTAACACTTTATCCAAGCTCATTTGGGGGGCATGTTGATGACCGCAGGATGGTTGTTGCTGGATAATATGTTACCTCAAATCCAACAGGTTGTAATCAAAAAAAGTTGTCGGGTTTGACTGAAAGGTTGTCATTTTTAAGCAACTCAGCTAGGAGCGGTAACCTCCACCAGCTGCCTGCCCTCCTTTTTTCCCAGAGGTTACTGCATCTATAGCAGTAGGTGGCTGAACATACAACTCCTGAGCTACTGTGATCCATAGCCTGTATTTTGTGTTGAAAACTGCAGCAGCTCAGATGCGTGCCCCAATTCAGGGTCACTTATGAGTCAGCACCCTTACAGCCATATCAAATAAGATGGAAAGAGAAAAATCACTACCGTGCCCATGCTAGTATGAGCAAAGTTGGTAGTACATTAACTTATTTTTTTCAGTAATGAAATATTTGGACTAAACCAGTAGTTATTAAATAACTGAGGCAGCTGTACTGAATGTAGTTCAGTTCCAGAGGCATAGTTCAGAACTTTATCCCAGAACAGCAGTTCCCTGAATAGTCAAGTATTTGACTTTACTATATCATCCAGAAATTTGGAATTGTCTGAATCTACTAAGCTGCAAGAGGGGCTGCAGCTAGAAAAAGCTTGGGATCTGCTGGGTAAAACATGAGTTTGTCATAATGTTTGATATAATTTGAACTTTCTCCATGTTTTCTTGGAAACCAATTTAGCTGTAATCAAACCACTGTAAGGATGTTAGCAGGTTTTCTTCAGTTTAGGTTTCTGTTATTTGGGCTATATTAAAGCATCGTGTTTTTCATAAGTCTTAACATTGTTTCTTTGATCCTGTCACAAGCTTTTATGAGATTCTGTTTGCATAACTTTTCATCTCTAACATCTGGCTAATGGCCTGACTGGCAAAAAAGCAGAGGTTTGGTATTTACATGGTCTGTACCTTTTTATTGAATTGCAAATCTTGGTCATGAAAGAAAGGTAGGGGGTTTTTTTTCTGAATCTGCCACTTTCTCAGTTTCTGGTAGCGGTTATCTGTGTTGCTGTATGAATAGAAATACTTCACCATGCTATTGTAACCAGTGTGCGAGTTCTTTGCTAGTATTCCTTATTTTGTGAAGCAGGATACTCTCCCATTGTTACCCCTCCTCCCCTCACCCTTCACTGTTTTCAAGCCTATTCCCCCCAAAGCCTCTCTTGTGTGAGAGGTTTGTTACAACACTTACCTGGCGAAGCCACTTGAAAATTGTAGTATGTTTAGAAGGTCTGGCTTGTTTTATCCAAGTGTGGTATGCTCAGAAATGTATGGTACCCTCAGAAATGTATGGATGGATGCATGCACGCATGCAGCTTTTTAAATAATCAGACCGATTGCTAGAATTAAGAAACAATAATATGTGTTCTTGAACCTTGCTGGCTACTCTGCTGTAAGAACACTCTGGGTGATGAGGATGCTATGAATTAGTCCCTGTTTAAGCCAAGAGTTTAACTCTGTGGCATGCAGTGGGCTGCCTTATGGCAGTGGTAGAGCATGAGATCCTAGAAAATCCAATGCTGATTTAGAAAAAGTGATGTTTTCTAGTATGTGGGTTGTGTCAATATCGTTAATGTAATTTTGTTGTCAGGGCGAGGTTATGATGGAAATCCTGTAGATGGAGCGTGCTTTGCTTCACATAGTGATGTTACCCATGGTGACTTTAGGCTAGCTGTCTACATGGATTCAGTAGTGCTTCTAGGTACTTCTGGGCTTTTGAAATATCTTTACCACTTTTAGCATTGTGTTTCCACTATTGGGAGGTTGGTTGCGTGCCACCTGGGGGGAAAAGAGAAACAACTGTGCATACAAACACGGTATTTACTGACTGTATACTCTAAAAATCAGGCTGTAAACTCTTTAGCCATGCAATGACAGAAAATTAATGTCCACAGGTCTTCAGTCTCGTAGGCAATTAGAAGAAATGAGAGTTATTTTAATCAGTTCATCACTAGGAAGTTTATGTGCATGTTCTGACTCCTGTTGCTTCTTGTGTTTTGGACTTTTTCAAAAAGGAAAAAGACACATGATAATTTTTCCTGGGTATTTCCTATCTGCTTTAAATTTAGAGACTTCTAGTCAGCTCCCATTCATTGCACAAAACAAATCCTGCTGCACCTTCCTAGCCTGCCTACACATGTCAGTGTTAAGAACGTAGGACAGGGAGGGACCACATGGGTCATTGGGTCCAATCCCAGTAAATCCAGGCAGGAACCAGGAATTGACAAGGGTCCACAGTATATCTGCACCATGTGCTAATCACCTTGTAACAAATTCAATGCTGCCAGTGAAATACTTAAAGCTATCAGAGAGAATCGGCACTGGAACAGTATCCAAAACTTCTGCTATACCTGGGAAGCCTTTAAGTGTGATGTCCAAACAGTGTTAAGAAATATGTGCCCCAGTCTCTGGAGGAAGACAGAAAAATTTCTGTTTGTACACAGCAACCTGACAAAGGGAAAGAACTTGCTTGTGCACCCAGAGTTAGTGACCATCTTAACTCTTAGTGTACTGTGAGCAGAACCATTTTAGTCTAACAAGTGAGATGAGGTAAGGCCTTAAGAAATATCAGTAGCACCTCCTGTTCTCGCTTGAGTTGAGGCTGACCTCCACAGCTTTAGGAAAAAATCCTTATGAGCAAATGGTGTATCACAAAGTTTATAAATATGAGTAAATAAAGATTTAGCTGAAATACATGCATTTTTATAATAGTGAGACTTTTTGGTTTTGTGGTGGTGTGTTCTGGGAAAGAAGATCTAAAGGAATGAAGCTGTGGTGATGGAAGTCTACCGTTTATGCTGATATCAAGAATTATGGGAGTTATAAGAAACAAAACCTGATGTCAGTTAAAACTGCTTTTGCAAAGAAGCTGCTATAGAGTAGAGCATGTTCTGTCATCTTCTGCATTCCCTGTGGAGTAAGTAGATCTCATGAAAGGAAATGTATACTTGTGGGAGACAAATTAACTAGGAAGCTGATGAATATTTCTGCCTCTTGTTTAGAGACTCACAGGTAGTGTATTCTGGATGGGATATCTTGTAGGAATGGGAGAGAAGAATGGGAAACAGAATGGTATCTAAAAAGGACAGATAATCAAGATGTTTCCATGTTCTGTGGTGATTTGAAGTGTATGTGTACCATTTATGTTCACCTTTCAAATTTAAAAAGTGTGT